CGCACCGAGAATGTAAATCAAAATTACCAGGCAAGAAAAAAAAGGGAACGCAGACGGACAAATCCTTTAAATTTGATTTAATAAACTGCTCGACAGTGAGAAGCAGGATGACGAGGAAGAAGAGGTGGAAAAGAAACGAAAGAAACAAAGAAAAGAAAGAGACAGAAGCTTCGGGATAATATTATTCCTCTGCGGCGGTCCCCTTTCGTTTTCTAACGACGCCCAAGAATAATAACGTTATGGCAACGATGACAATAACGATTGGAGTATCCGAGCGAACGTGCACCTTGAATTACAGAGTGCGGGTTTCCCGCTGTTGTTTCTCCGTTGCCGTTATCGTTTGCTCGAGCAGTCTTTATTCCCGTGACGTAGCACGGATCGTTCCGAGCACGTTGTTGGAGTTTCGACGTGGCCTACACACGAACGGAGCAAGATCGGCGAGGCGTGGCGCGGCAAGAGCGAACACGAAGAAGCACGGGGGCAGCGCGGAGAGGAAGAAAGGAGTTTCCCGCGCGTTCCCATCGATTTCTTATTTTTACCTACGCCAAAGAGAGCTCATCCTGTAAATGGATCAAGTGCGCGGAACGTTTTCTCGATAGAAGTTCGATACCGCTTCTCCCCCTTCCACTCCCACTTACTTCCTGTCTCTCTCTCTCTTTCTATCTGTCGGAAAGTTTCGGGCTCGCACTTTCTACGCCGCGTCCGAAGCAGCGTGCATCCCTTTGAGATTTGTTTCGTGTTTTCTGATTAGACACGGAAGCAAAGGCCAAGGCAGTAGCTCGCCTTCGAGGAAGAGCGAAATCGGATCTATCGGTACGAGGAGGAGAGGAGACGGGGGACAACGAAGTTATCGCGGGTACAAAAAGTAAAAGTTGCTGCATCTCTCCCCTCTGTCGAGATTCTCCGCCGTCGTTTCGTTTCTTCGCGCGTCACCACCGCCACCACCACCGCCGCCGCCACCGATTTCGAGAAAACGAGATGGAAGCGAGACATTTACAGAAGATCGCCGAGGGAATTAACACGCCTCGCTGGACGCGATCCGTGGAAATCTGCCGCTTCTGAAGAATGCTCGAACTCGGACTCGAGAAACGAATATCATCGGCGAGGTGGGTGAAGGAAGGTGCAAAGGGGAAAGATGAACGGGGAAGGGAAGGAAAGAGGGTGGAAGAGAATACGGATGGCTTGCTCGCAACACGGGCCTGGCAAAATTTGCCAAGCGGCCGAGAGAAGATCGCGATGATTATACGCGAAAGGGGAGTGGGATAGGAGGGGAACAGAGAGACGGGCAAAAAATATTCCATAAAGCGTAGTGGAGGGCTCGCAAATATTTATCTTTCGGTGGGCTTGGGGCCGCCTGCGGGAGAAGCGCAAAGAGCCATGCGAAAACGTTCCGGTGCCGGATGGCCCTTGTCGCGGCACAGAAACGTGGAAAGTTCTCCTGACACGATTATGGCGCTCGGTGACCAGAAATAATTTCATTAGCCGCCCCGTAAACTCATCTAGCAGTTCGTAAAGAAACCATACGCGTGGGAAATATGTACTTGGGCATATATAATCGTGTACCTGCGGACGCCTTAAGCCCCTAGCACGCTCCCGCGGGAACTCTAATCACGGGTACTTAAGTTCCTGTTGCGCAGAACAGCGTACACCGAACGATGCCTGCATCAGCATCCACCGTTTCGTAAACGTGCGCGCTACCACCTCGGCTGTGTGTTGGAGGGTGAATGGAATGATTCGCGCCACCGAGCACACTTGTTAATGAGCGAAACGACGATTTACACGGCTCGACGAGGCTCTCCTCAAGTTAATGGACGTGCATCGACGAGGTTCTTCGGGGCGTAATTGCACGAAAGATTTAGAAAACATCGAGAAACTTCCAAGTTTGCATCTTGGTTCGAGTCGAGATCGGCTGGTTGTATATGTGTATATACATCACGAGAAAGCGATTAAAACCTTACGTTAAAATACGACGGCATCCGTGTGCGATCTACTAATCTTCCGCGATCTGTTTACGGGAAAACCGGGGAAAACCATGAGACGAGAGTACGTGGCAAGAAGAGCCTAACAAAATTTCTGACAAGCGAACGCGCCGAGTAACGTTTCTTCGAGCTAGCGTTGCTATCCGAAGCTAGCCGTGGATATCCTAAATTTTGGTCGCACAAGCGTCCTCGCAAAAACTTTCTCTCTCTCTCTCTCTTTCTCTCTCTCTTTCTTTCTCTCTCTGCCTGTGTCTTTTTCCGATGGCTCTGCTGGAGGTCGTCTGGAAGGAACAACGAGAAAGGGGGAGCGAACGGACAAGAGGGAAAGCAGGCTGGATTATGGCAAGTGGATGCCGTGTATACAATCGGACGATAGAAACTGTGAGCGCGAATGACAAAGAGACGGTGATGTACGTCTCGTGGATGAAGGGAGAGGCATACAGAGGGATACAGAAGGCACAAGAGGAGGCGGAGAAACGTAACGAAAAGAGACGAGCGAGAAACTGAGGAGGGATCTCGCAAAACATACACAGCTGAAGCTGACACATCCTCTGCCAGTCTGCTGGCTTTTCTAGAAGGTGGGAGAAGGACGAGCAAATCTAGACGCTTACTTAGTGACACACGCAGCATTTTGCTGTCGGGGCTGAATTCCCTCTCTTCGTCTCGAAATACCTTCTGGCCGCTCTTTCCACGTGTTAAGCCTCTGTTTCTCTCTCGCCACCGTCGTTTCTCGACGGCATTGTATTAAACCGTGGCTCGTGTTGCGGCCTGACAAGAGGGGGCACACGAGTTATCTTGTCCTCGTTCCATCGCGTTCTCTCTCTAACCATTCTCTCTCTCTCTCCCCATCTATCGGCTAAACCTCTAAGTTTCTCTTTCGCCCCTGTCATATATCCTGCTCGAAGATACGTCGGATTATTCAGAGAGTAATTTAAACTACGAACGACAGATATACCAAGTGTTTCAAATTGATCGATCGCTCAACGAAGTGTTCAAACAAGCGAATTTCCTCCAAACGCAGCGACTGTCGTTCGCGTATTGATATTGGATACTGTCGATAATCTCGCGAGCTATCTACGCTACTAATCGCCCGCATCTTTTCGGCTTTGCGAGGAATAAATCATTCGCGTGATACGAATTAGCCCGTGATCGTATTACGTCACCTTACGACACGCGTTTCTGAAACATCCCGATAAGATGGATAAGGCGGCTCGATAGCCCGTATCGAAATACGTGGACTTTGACGTGGAAACAGTTTGTCTGAACACCGTTCATTAGACAATTCGGTGTCTCCTCTTCCACCCGTCGCGTCGACCCGTCGCGAGTACTCTCGTTTCTGACCTGTCGTCGAGTTTCAAGACGAGCCAGCTCCCTCAAGCCGTCAGCAACCGCTTTCAACCCTTATCAGACGCATCTGATTCTGACACGCGATTCGAAATTTCCCGCCATCCCGCGGCGCGTCTGGCCGAGGCTCTTTAAAGTCGTATAACGCAAGCTTATTAACGTGCTCCGGAATGTCTAACTTGTCAACGTTCACGAGACCGCGCCGGTGCCGTCTCCTTCCGGAAGAGCGAGCACTGGAAGTAACGATCGTTTGCGAGAAGTATTTTGTGGTAAACGGCAACTAGCGGCGCGCGAGCGCCGGAAGATGTTGCAAATGTCGTGAGAATTAACGGTAGGGACGATTATCCTTGAGGAATGGCCGCCGGCAAATGGGGGTACCGATTAAAGGGACGAGTCCCCGTGACTTTTTTTTTTTCAGGCAACACACAAACGACGCGCCTTTACGATGCACCGGCGCGCACAATATCTCGAATTAACGAGGCTCTTCTCGTATCCCAGGTATTATTACGACTCTAAGTAATGCGGCGCGTTTAAGCCCGCAGTTACGCCAGCCATGCAAAAATCTTTTGTTTTCGTCCTGAAACGTTTATCTGCGCGGCGCGTAATGACGTAACGCGTTCCAAGTTTTTAATTAACGATTTACACGACACGGGCTCACGGGCCAGTGAGTCAATTCTTTCGTTCTTTCTCGTTCTTTTTTTCTTTCTTTTTTTTTTTTTTTTGGCCCGTACCTTCTCCCTCTTTCCCTCCCCCCGCCCCTTTTCATTTTTCTGTTTTTGTCGAGCGGGGGAGCGGAATGGAACAACGTTACACCGTATAGTATAACAACTGGTCGATGGAGCGTGAAAGCACCTGCGTGTTGCGCGATCGTCGTTACGTATTTACACGGCTGCGATATTGTTACGCAGGCGGAATCGGCGAGGGAGAAAAAGCAGCGCAGTCCTCGCGAGAACGGATGACATTTTTCTCGGTCGAAACTTTTCTTTAGAGATGGTGGACCAATTTTTCCACCGGCCCGGGCGACCGCATCATTCCGTACGCTGAACCGAGCCATTCTCCTGACGGCGAGGCAGAAGCGTACATCGAAGCTAATGGCGCGACTCTCGGTGATTCGTCTCCACCCGACGCTTTTCCCTTCTACGTTTTTTTCACTCCATCCTCTCCACGTTGCCTTTTCTTATTATTGCTTCCGACGGCCGACTCATAATTTACACGTGAATTTCGAAACTCCATCGGACGAGAACGATGTCGCCTTTCTTTCACGAACAATCGCCTCTTTCTCGGTAGTACCCTCTGTGTTTTCGAAGATAAAACAGGTTCAGGTTCCATGAACTGTAGCCAATATTTTTAATATTACGCAATTCAATAATTTAACAGGCGAGTTTATTTAAATGCTCGTCCATTACGCAGAGTGCTTATCAATTTTCTGACCAAAATTTATTATTCAAAAGCAGCAACCTAGCATGATACATTTGCTTCGTCAAATTACCGAAAATCTGAAACAGTCGTTGTACGCGGTCAAGAGGCCTATCGCGACCTTCGTACAAGTTGCTTCTCAGAAAACTGGTTGAAGAGATAAGTTAATAGATTCCGTGAAATGCTCCGTACCGTGTGAATGACGCCTTTATGTTTCACGCGCGTTGCCTGTGTATAAAAATATCTATCACTAGACGAAGACCGGCTTTGCATTATTTCTCTGGCAAGCCGTGCGAGGAACACGCGACCGATGTACAAGCGGTTCACTTATTTATCGTGGCCCCGAGCAAACTGATCGTGAAACATGCTGTGAATTTTTCACGGGAAAGATCGTTCTTTGGCCTCTCCTCTCCGCTCCTCTGCCCCTCCTCCTCACCCCGGCTTCTGCCTGGTAGGATCCCTTTAGAAATTCCTACAAAGGGCGTAACACCGGCAGCCTCGATTCTCGTTTAAAAAATTGAAAGACTATTTCTCGTCTGTGGCTCGAGTGTATCTCGAAATATACGTCGGTGGGCCAACGGTGGCTCGGTGTGTACAAGATGTTGTCTCTGCCGTTGGTGCTTTTACTCTTTCGTCAATTCTCGCCCGCCATTGGATTCAACATCCTCGGAATTTGTCCCAGCGCGAGCTACAGCCACCAACAACCCTTTCAAGCATTGATGAAAGCTTTGGCGGCTCGTGGACACAACGTCACCATGATATCGACCATTCCGTCAAAGGTAAGTGCGATTTTCCTTTCCTTCTTTCTCTCTCTCTCTCTCTCTCTCTCTCTCTGTCTTTGTTGAATACTTTCACCTGGCTGTTCTCAAATGATCTATCAACAAATCGCTCGATGATTCCTCGATTTTCCCACGATTCTCCCGCTGTGTTTGCCTCGGTTCGCCACTCGATTTTTCGCTTTTTCGATTCTTTTCTCTTTCTCTCTTTTTCATTTTCTTTCTCCCGGCTCGAAGAACGAAGAGAAATTTCATCGAGTTAGAAACAGTTTTAACCATTACCCGGTAAAGTGTGGCAATTTATACGCGATACAATCGCGTTAGAACTATCGTCATTTATCAGCGTTGGGGAAGTTAGTAAAAAAGGCGCGAAAACACTTCTAACAAGGTTATAACGATGGTTTAATAATTCAATAATATCGCGTAAGACCGGTAGGGAAAAGTTCGGGAAGATATCTCGAGAATAGGTGTTTGACTCTACGCTCCACTTCGGCCACGCGTACCTCTCGTGCCTTCTTCCCACGTTCGCCCCGGCAGTTCATTTTTACTTTTCTTTCTCTTCTTGTCTCGCTCTGCTTCCACTTTTCTCTGACCCCGATCCCTTTTCGTGTCCCTCTCCTTTACCCTCTCCATAAACTCCGGTTCAAAGTTACGCAAACTTCCTTCGGCTTCAATTTACCCTTACTAACATTTCTTCTTGTTAAACGCATCTCTTTGTGACCCGATGCTCGCCGTTTTTCGTTCTCTCTCTCCTTTGTCTCTCTCTCTCTCTCTCTCTCTCTCTCTCTTCCTTTCTTTCTTCATTTTCCTCCAGAGAAATCAAGAATTCCACGATATGTGTAAATCGAGAAACTCTCACGAATCCTCTACGACAGAGGCGCGATAGGATTGTGAACGCAAAATTTTTTACCAATCGACGATTTTACCATACTACCTGGTCATCGTTGAAAAAACTAAGCCAAGTAAAGATGCTTCTCTGCAAATTAATTTCTCACGCTTCTTTTGTCCGTCGTTGAAATGCTTGTACCTTTTATTGAAACGTGTCCCGCAGTGATTGAAACAAAACGCGAAACTTTCCAAGGAGCTGCGTGATAAATTTCAGCCAAAGTGAAAAGTTCGCCAGGCGTGGAAATTCATCTAAAAGGGAGTACGATGTTTCAGAAGCCGATCAAGAACTACGAGGACGTCGATCTGTCGTTTTCCTACCGAAAGGCAGACTGCACTAACCTGAGGTATGCATTCTCTCGTCCTTAAAAAGAGAATTCGTTAAAGCATCGATCATTCTTTTCTCTCGTAGGCACATGGGAGCGTTCACCATTCTGCGGAAGAACATGCGAGAGGCGAACGAGCTGTGCGAGGAGCAATTGTTCAGCCCGGCCATCGAGAACCTAATTTCGTAATACGAGATATTCTCTTTGCGACAGTGTTGATCAGCGTGCGACCGATGGAGTAAAGACAAGTTTCGTTTCGTAAATTCGTTAAACAGTGGGAATAATCGAAGGGAAAGCGCGCCGACGAAATTTTTTTCCCGTGAGCCGTAGAAAATTATCGGCATCACGCCGCGGACGTTGCTTGCCGTTGCCGTTTACTCGACAGGGAGGAGAAACGACAACCGGCCAGAGAAATTACAGTAATTCCATCGCGTTGGAACGACTTCATCGGTTGCTAGTAGGGGTGTGCGGGTATGCGACATTTCGGGTGCCGAAAGTTTGTGATACTCGGGTACCCGAAAAATCTATAATATACTTCAGGTACCCGAATATTACATCACTGGTCAGGGTGATAATTTTTCGGATTTTACATTTATTCTTTCAAATTTATAAATATTTTTGTATTCTATATAAGTGAAATCGAATTTTAAAAATCCACAAGTAAAGAAAACAGTCGATAATATTATATGAAAACTATTTTATTTTAAATTACTGTGAAGAAAACATAATTGTTCAACTTTTTGGGGTATTAATTTTGTTCGCGTGGCTGTTACAACGTTGCCGGTATCTGACAATAAGCCTTCTTTTATTTGGATTTCCTTTTTAGTCGATCGAAAGCCGAGAGTCGCCAAGAGCACTTGATATTGTCGTTGCAGTTATCCATGCATCTTTTTCTTTTAAGTCAATTTAGTATACATTGTATACGCGAGTTTCCTGTGAATTTTATTTTCTATTTATTTCCGAACTCTTCGTCGAAAACCACTCAAGACTGCTCGTGTTTACTGACGATGTAGAATTTTCGTGATACCTTGCGGCTGTGTAACTTAACAAAACCGATAGTTTTTCCTATTCCGCATAAACAGAGAAAGGCTAACTTATTTTTAGAAAACATACTTTCTCGAAAAAGTAATATAATTTACACTTTACAATCAATCGAAAATCATTATTCAAGCATTCGTTTAATAGAATCGCATAATAGAAGCTGCATTAATTATGTCGTTGAGTAAATGCGGACTGAATACTCTTACTATGCGTGTTTTTTTTTTTATCATTGACAATGGCAGCGATATTGTAAATTCAATTGAAACCAATAAAAATCGAAGAAAGAATAAGTGTAAAATCCGATTGAAAAATCACCCGACTCGCGACGTAATATTCGGGTATATAATATACGAATATTATAGATTTTAGAGTTCCCGAGTCGAGCCAAGCACTACCCGACTTTTCCGATACCCGCACACCCCTAGTTGCGAGCTAATCTCGAAATCGCGACACGATGCTCTTTCCTTTTCCTTTCATTCTTTTTTCTTTTTTCTTTTTTTTTTTCTCTTCTTTTCTAGAAGGAACAAGAGTTTCGACGCGGTGATTATAGAACAGTTATGGTACCAGTGCTATTACGCCCTCGTCAAGCATTACAATTCGCCGGTTCTAATTGGATTCCTGAGCGTTGGGAACTTGCCGTACGTCATGGACTCCGTCGGTAAGCGCCGCCGAAAATACGAATCGAAAAAGAAACACGATTCGTAGTAGTAGAGCCGGACCACGGTCAGACCACGTTCTGTTCGCGACGTCTTTTTCTACTGTCTCTGGTCGCTCGGTCGGGATGTCGTTAACCGAGCCGGAAATTGACATAAATTGTCGATAAAGTAGAAAGTGCGAGCAATCGGGGCGAGAAGACAGAGTCTCCGTGAAAAAGAACGAGTCGCGCTCGGTAGTGCTTTAATCCGGTTTTCGTATCAGATGAAAAATAAGGAGACAGAGACACGCTACCTGATCGTTTGGTTTCTTTACGCGATAAAAAAAGGCAAACGAGTGTTCCTTTCTCCCGAATGTTGCCGGATGTACACGTTGTGTTTTCACCTGCAGGGAACCCGGACGACCCGCTTTTGAACCCGGATATGGCCTATCCTTTCACGAACAAAATGAGCCTGGACGAGCGTATCTGGAACATCCTTTACACGACGTGGACCAGGATATACTACAAGTACTGGCATTTACCTAGGGCTCAAGAGATCGTTAACAAGTGGATGCCTGACGTCTCGATCGAGGACATGGACAGAAACTTTAGCCTGGTGATACTGGGAAACAATCACGTATTCGGATATCCGAAACCGCTGCTGCCAAACGTAATCGAGGTTCACAGTCTCCAGATCACGGAGAAAAGGGAAACCTTGCCCAAGGTATCGACAAGGAATTCCTAAACTTCCCCATTAAAGTATAAAAGCGTACGATCCTGCTGGCTGGTAGGTGAAACTTGGCCACTCGTTGGCAAATTCACAGCGTTCGTGAAAAGCTTCTGATCTAACGGCGTGGATATCGTGGTATTAATTCGATGATATTAATCGAACGACGGATCAACAAGAGACGATATTGCGAAACTGAAATTCAGCCAACGATTACAGGTATTATTCCTTGCGGGACGCGCGGCGTTATTTCGCGCAGTTTTGCCGCAGCAAGGGGTAGAGCCGTATACCGCGAGCGAGGGAGGAATGATTTCTCCGGGGGAAAATACGTAGCACTCTCTGGCAGGTAACCGGTATAGGGGAAAGTTTACCTACGGCTCGGCAACGCGACGCGAAAGTAAAGGTCATTGCTATTTACCGTCGCTCCTTTTGCCCTCCGCGCGCCCACGCGCTGCCAGGGAAAATATTTCCCGAAAGGTATTTCCCAGCCTCTCCAGTACGTCCTCTCCGACAAGAGAGGGAATCTAGATACCGGTGTCGTTTTTTCGTGCCAGCTTTCCCCGTACCGTACGCCTATTCTTTCCATCTTCTTCGAATAATCGCCGACGTGGATCCTCGAACCCTAAACCCTAGCCCTTTCTAACCGCCTGACACATCGACGAGAATTATCCGACCGTCGAAGCACGTTTTTCTAGATACGTTTTCGTTCCTCGAAATGCGCAGTTGCGCCCGTGTCACGTGGGAATTTCGCAACGCGAAACATTGAGATGCAAAACGTGATCGCCGCCGTCCACGTGCACGCTCGCTTTGCCAGACGGTCGTGCAGCCCGGTGCAATTAATACCTTCTACTCCACGTGAGACGCGTATGTCATTATGTCTTGATCTAACTTTTACGAATACACCTCAGCGATAATAACTGGAAGTGCGTGGATGAAGATGTTTCCTCTCCGTTTTTACACGGAAGAAGATTTGAAATTTATCTCTCTTAGAATTGTTTGAGAACAATGCTACTCGCGATACCGATACTTTTGGCCGTCTCGTTTCTTGAGAATCGGAGATGAAATTGTGAAACTGGCAGAATGGGAAGTCGATCCCGACGACAAACGATATCGACAGAATAAAAATTAACGTTCGACAGGACATTGAAGAATTCCTAGACAAGGCGGAGCACGGGGCGATCTATTTCTCCTTAGGCTCGAATCTGCAAACTCATCAGTTGCCAGTCGGCCCTTTGACCGCATTGTTCAACGCGCTTGGCTCGCTCCGGCAAAGAGTTCTATGGAAACACACCGGAGACATGGCCATTCATCCAGCCAACATCAAATTTGTGAAGTGGGCACCCCAGAAAGCGATTCTCGGTAAGGCTACTGAAGACCAAGCCTCGAAGACCCTGCGCTTCCTCTCGGTCCACTCCTTTGACCGAGACTTAGATTGACCGCTTCGGGATATGTTCGTTTTATAGCCTCGCCTCTGGACGTCGTCGTTTCGCGTGCGCGCACAAGAATCGTTATCCGAGCCGATGAAAACGCCTCGAGGAGTATTAACGCGACGGGGAAACAACAAGCGTGATTAATCGCGTCGTAACGAACGGATAATTTATGCCTCGGTCAAATTATTCCGGTTCTGATAAACCGATGAACAGAACGAGTTGTACTCGCTGGGTATTACTATATAGTACTCTCTTTGATTCCCTCACGAACACGAGACACGAGACTTCTCTTTAGAGATCATTAGAGATTTTTTTTTTCTTTTTTTATTTATCTTTTCCCCTTTCTGTTCTCTCTCCCGTTTCGTTTCTCTAGCGCGAGATAAGAAACCTCTTACGTAATTGTCTACGGCGCTCGTAAGTACGTGTTTGTTCGTTAATTATCGTATTTTGCGTTTGATTTACATACACAACTCGTCGCCGACGGTCTGTTCGTTAAACAGGATTCAACGGCGAGCAGAGGCTCGGCGCAGATACTTAATGAAGTTGCTGCCGACTTTGCAGGTCCTTTCATTTGGAAGGGATGTTAATTTTCTCGGGTAAGCAAGTGCTCTGTAACGACCTCGTCCACGCTCGTTTTTTTCAAATGATCGAAAGCGAGTCGCGCGCGATACAATTTCACTCCATGCTTTCTTTCGTACGAAAGTTCAACTCGAATCGAAACGAATTCGAGAATCGAAAGTCAGACGCACGAGCCTATAAATTCGACGGAAATTCGTACGTTTGAAAATTAATTTGAAGTAGGGAGAAGTATATTCGAGTATCGCTCGAATTCGTTATTACAAAACGTTAATTGCCAGTGTATTTTGTAAGCCCCAGAGGGCGCGATCGGGGAAAGATAAACGAGGATGTTCTATTGATTCGAGGGAAAAGGACAATTCAGGAGGATTCATAGCGAAGCGAAAAGATAATTCATGACACGGCGGAAAATTCTCTCGGGAAATTTTGACAAACAACTCCGCATCGTTCGCGGTAACGCCCGGACCCGATGCAAATGCAAGCAAGCGCAAACTTTCGTATACATTGATAGACAGGTTACGTTCGCCATCCCTTCCTCTAAATCCCACCCTGCTGTGTAGAAAGCGTATTATGGGTAGGAATGCGAAATGTAACTGGTGGGCGCCATGCAAATAATGAGAATTTCAATTCAATTGCCTATTACGGTTCACGTAGTTCCAAAATTCAACACGTCGGATTTCAATGAAACTTTCCTGTAATACGTTTCCACCTTCTGATCGTCAACGACGATTTTAACCGTCGTGAGATAACGATCGAACCACCGTGATAAAAATAAACGAAACAAACCGATGCTCTTAAACGTTGTTTCTCCACACGTTGATATTTCTGTCTTGATACTCGACGAGTCCTCCCTTGTTTCTCAAAGTGTAGGATTCAACCCAATTTCCAAATTCTTTGGACTCTAAATTTTTTTCACGAAATAACGAATTTTTACATATTCTCAAACGTTTAGATCTCCGAGTTTTCACATTTCCACTTAAGTTTATAAATCTCACCACCGAAATTTAATCTCACCATTGAAATTTTAAAACCGTGAGCTTCGCTCTCTCAGATTTCTATATTTTACGCTGTTTTACTAGTACCAGTTGTTAAAAAACGTTATTCTTCGCTGCTTAAAACGAGTTCATACAAGTAATACAACTTTCGAAATATTTGCTCGACATACGTAAAATACGCAATTACCTCAAAAATTCGACATACTTTTTTGTTTCCAAAACATTACTCTACACTCTCGGGTAGAATCTCAAAACTTGAAGCTGATATTCGTAAGAGAACGTTGCTTTATTTCTACTCGATTCGAGGTATATACGAACGTTACTTCTCTATATACAGCACATCCGAAAGTAATGGTCTACGTGATGCAAGGTGGATTGCAGTCGTTGCAAGAGGCGGTGCACTATTCTGTGCCGGTAGTGGCCATTCCCTTTTTCGGAGATCAACTTTTCAACGCGCGTAAAATTCTGGATGCTGGTATCGGACTCACACTGAACATCGATACCGTCACCGAAGAATCCATCGTGCGAACTATCACCCAAGTCATAGAAAATAAAACGTGAGTTTCTCATTTATCGCGGAACGATTTTTTTTAAACTCACGCAGATATACAAACTCACTTTACAAATTTCTTAATAGAAACTTCGAACATTGACGAAAATTTATAAAACTGATATATTATATTTACAGATACTATAACAATATGAAGGAAATGTCGGAAATTATAAAGGACGAACTGGTAAAACCAATGGATCGTGCTATATGGAATGTGGAGCACGTGATCAAATTTTCTAAATCGAAACATTTACGTTACTACGGCCACGATATATCGTTGATAAATTACTACGGAACGATAGCGATCTTTGTCCTACCGTTCATTTTGATAATATACTGCGTTTATTTCCTATTGAATTATTTGAGAAGTAGAAAGGGATACAATTGCATGAAAGATAGAATTAAATGCTATGTAAAATCAAAATTTGAATAGTTACGATATTTTTGATAGAAGAAGATAATTGTAAATTCTCTACTACAATATTAAATTTGATTTAATTATGATTAGCTACGGCTAAATTTTGAAGTTAGTTATTAATTAGTTTATAATTGTTGCATATTGTTGTCTGTTGGTAAGAGAGTTAAAGAAATTTTTGCGATACCGATCGATCACGAAAATAAAATTATCATCATATGAAAAGTTTGATCTGTTGTATCGACTGTTGAATAGATGGAACCATCTGTTAGTCAATGATGGAACCAGTTGCTGGGAATCTAACGTCACAGCACGACAAGCTAAAGACTTGAAAATTTGAATATTTCCTAACCGTTACGTCCCCTCTTGAAATTAATGTATATACAATATATATCCGTAATGATTCAATACTAATTAAATATATATCAATCATTGAACAAAATAAGTAAACGAATATATAAATACTTCTACTTCCATTAAAATATATCAAACATTACCGTATTTCCATGAAAATATGTTAGACATCGTTAATCATCGTGGCGTTCTCCTAATATTTCAAGCATTCTTCCGCAATCAATTTGTAATCTACACAAAAGAAAAACAAAGCTTTCAAATAAATGTATAAAAGAAACAAATTATATAAAAATAATCGAGGCAAAATGTCGGTTTGAAAGCTCATAGTATCGTTCAAAAAGATTAAAGAAAGAAAGATAATTTATATATATATATATATACAAATTATAACATTCAAAAAATTATTAAGTAAAAACGTACGTTAAGTTAAACATAGGTAAAATGATGAACACGATGAAACGATGATATTACACCTTTAAAAAATGTTACGCGGAAAGATAACATCTTTACATTCCGATTTTCCGTAACGAACTATCCTTCTGCGCAACAGATTCGCGTCGCCAAATAATGTGGCAAAGTGGGGGTTCAAACGTGCATGAATAGAATTCAATTAATTTCTTATACCCTTTATGTATGTCTGCACGCGCTAAATTTTGAAATTTCATTAGCACTGTAATGATTTTGTTAATAATGTTTAAAACATATTTGAAATATAATATTTTCTTGCAATTATTTTCATTTTTCTGAACATTTAATTACGATTACTTAAATTATCATCAATGAAAGTAAAAAGAAACCTAATAGTTTTAAAAGTAAACCGAACGTTTATACTGCCCTTAAATTTGAATCAAAAGAGCGTATCTGCAAATTTCGTTCAAATCAAGCTGTATCAAATCAAAACTACATTGAAATTGAAGATACAACAGTTTACATATTTCTGATGTATATGAAACCTTTGTCTAAGCGTTAAAGTCGCTTATTAAACTATCTTTTGATCAGACACGCTTACTTGAATTAACAAGGCAGTGAATGCATTAAAATTGAAAAAAACATTCAAATATAATATGTATATAGTAATTTTCATGTAAAATCATAGATAAGATACAGAATAGATATACCACATATACCTCGTCTGTATCATTGGCTTTTTAGCGCACTCTATATTTAAAGAACAGTATATACCTCGTCTGTGATCGAAGATAGAAATACTGATTCCAGGTAGTAACAACCTAAAGCTGTCAGAGAAGTTTTGGCATATCGTTAATTGTGAATAAGGCAACGATAATATAGTTTGTGATGTATCTATAAAACCACTGGACATAATTGTGATTACAACAGTATTACTATAAAAAACAAAAGTATTTGCTAAATATTAATATGTCTTCCCTCCAAAAGTCAATTTTGAAATCGAAACGACCACCGTCGGATGTCAGTTTTGGAATTGGCTCTAGGTTAGTTTATTATGACTATTATAAATTGAAAATGTTAACTGAAATGTTAATTAATGTTTTCGTAAAAGCAATTCAGCAATGTTCTAACATGAATTTAGTGGAAAATATTGAAGTTTACCGGTACTAAATATTTTAATAATCACTAGGGTTAGCAAGGCAAAAGATAAGAGAGATTACGAACCAGTTCAATGGATTCCGTATTTTGATCATTCCCAGGATGTAAAAATAGGAAATGACACATTTCATATTTATACTAAGGGTACAGAGGGTCCGACATTAGTGTTGTTACATGGAGGTGGTTATAGTGCATTGACATGGGCAGAATTTACTGTAGGTATTTATTAATTATATAAAATCCAAAACAATTCCTATATCATACATGTTTCAGAAATCACTTATGACTATGGTAGTATGTAAAGTTATGGCAATTGACCTTAGAGGTCATGGAGATACCCAAACATCAAATGAAGAAGATTTATCTGCTGACACCTTGGCAGAGTAAGAGCATGACTTTTAAACAGTTATAATATATAGTTGAGTTGTGTATGTGTATCACATTTTAATTGATTTATCTATTTCTTAGAGATGTTGCAGCAATAGTGAATGCAACAACAGAAAATAATCCTGTAATCCTAGTGGGTCATAGTATGGGTGGTGCAGTGGCTGTTAGAGCTGCACCATTAATCTCAAATTTGTGTGGATTAGGAGTTATTGACGTTGTTGAAGGAACAGCTATGGATGCATTAGCATCTATGCAAAGTTTTCTAAGATCTCGACCGTCTAGTTTTAGTTCTATCTCTCAAGCCATAGAGTGGTGGTTAGTATTTTTTAAACTTTAAAGAATATGAAATAATTACATCATTATGTGTCTTTCGTGTACTTTTGATTACTAAACAAAACTTGCTATTCTAAGCACATTTTTCAGAAGGAAGGCACATTTTTGACTGATTCCGTACAAACTAATATTATTTACTTTAATGTATTATATATTTATATATGTATTAATGTATTATATATTTATTTTGTATAATCAAAAACGAAATTATAGAAGATTGTCTCTAATTAATCACATTTTAGTGTGCGAAGTGGCCAAATCCGTAACGTACAATCAGCTAAGGTGTCAGTTCCTGGACAAATAAAAAAGTTAGTGTTTGAAGACATATATTCTTATATTATATTTGCCTTTTTTAAATTGATTTCTCATGTTACATTTCGTATTGCTGTAGCATCGAAACTAATAAATTAGCCACTCACGATATTGGTTTGTTATCACAATCGACGTGCGAGTGTGATTCAGGAATTACGATTCCACGAGAAGATATCATCCAAGAAGAAGAACCAGTAAATATGCCACCACCACCTACCCCAACCAATGTCACTTCTACTAGAAAATATGTTTGGAGGATAGACTTATCCCGAACGGAACAACATTGGTTTGGATGGTTTAAGGATCTATCAACAGCATTCTTAAATGTACCAGTTCCAAAAGTTCTATTGCTAGCTGGCGTTGATAGATTAGATAGACAACTCACTGTTGGTCAAATGCAAGGTATAATGTTGATATTAAATTTTATTTGAATATTTATAAATATATTAAAACTATATCTTGATTTATTAGGTAAATTTCAAATGCAAGTATTACCAGCATGTGGACATGCGGTACATGAAGATGTTCCAGATAAAGTAGCAGAAGCAATTGCCACTTTTATGGTTAGACATAAATTTGCTGGATCTGCATCAGATTTTCCACGGTAATTTAATTTATAAACAGTTAGGAAGATATAATATTATAATACGTATAATATATTGCCCTTTTAATAAATTTCAGAACGTTTCCTGCTTGTTAGGATTATGAAATAGTCATCTTGTCAAGAGTATAAAAAATTCAATGAATTAGTTAAAATGAGCATTTTATTTATTTAAAAAAGATATATATTCACAAAATATATATGAGTACATGTATAAATAAAAATATTTCCTCGACAAGAAAAATAAATTTGTTTGACATAAAAGATGTATTTGTTAAAAATAAATCTGAATATGTTTATACAAAAAACATACGTATAAATATATAAAAATTGATGATAGTACACGTACCGTATCAAATAGAGTACAAACATTACTTTATCCGTATCGTATTGAATGATTCTTAAATATGTATTTATAGATAAAAATAATTCTAATTTTATAATATAGTAACATTTACAAATTCAGTTTTTATTTAAAATTTTCAGCTAAAATACTTCAATTTGTTTTCGAGATTTCGTGTTTGAGCGTGTGCAGAATTTTGGCATTAATCAAATCCAAAACCAGTTAAATTTTTTAAAACAACGCACGGAACTCCAGCACGACCAGTACTTAAGGGTGCAACCTTAAAATAATATTGTTTAGTAATATAAATATCTGTAATATATCTTTAAATATATATTCGATGTAAATTTACACTTACTGGTTCCCATTCATTAAGATGTGGATCATACGCTTCGACAAGTGTAAGATACTGTTGACCATCGTAACCTCCTACAGCCATAAGTCGATCACCGAGCACACAAACACCAACTGCATCTCTTGGCACACTCATTGGTGCTACCATAGTCCATGTATCTGTTTTAGGATCATATCTAATAATAATAACAGTTATGTATTAATTATTGATACTTCTACTTTAACTATAATATGTGTATTCTTTAGATACATATATACCTTTCAACGCAATCAAATCTGCTAGCATTAGGATTGCTAGAAGGTGCATCATGACCACCTAATGCATAAAGACATCCGTTTACCACACCTACGCCCACACCACCTCGTCGTTTTGACATTGGAGCACACGGTATCCATTTATTCGTATGAGGGTCATAACATTCCACAGTATTTAAACATGAACTTATATCCCTTCCACCTACAGCATATAATCTGAACAGATACATGTAAGGTGTATAAAATAATAGTACGATTGATTACGTACCAGATTACTTAAGATACTTACTTATCATTCAATACAGCAACACCAACTGTCGATCTTTGTATAGACATAGCAGAAACCGAACTCCACTGACGTGTAGCTGGATCCCATCTTTCAACAGTATCAAGAAAACTCCAACCATCATGACCACCCACTGCATATAAAGGTCCACCTAATACAGCAACCCCTAATCCATGCCTATGTATATTCATAGGCGATAGTGTACTACAAGTTAAAGTCGAGAAATCGAAACATTCAACAGTATTTAATGTTTTCAATCCATCTCTTCCACCAGCAACTATTAACTTTCTATCAACAACAGCAGCACCAAATTGTAGTCTTTTACTATTCATCGTAGCAATAGATTTCCAAGCATTATCACGTAAAGAAAATGCATCTATTGAAGTAGCACCTGATAAAAAACAATAATAAATTAATTAAATAGTTAATTTATTGCTATTTATTTTCAGTTTATTTACCTTTATTAGCATCCATTCCTCCTACAGCTAACATATGACCCACTGTAGCTTTCCTGGGCTTTGTACGGCCTGATTGAAGTAATGGTCTACGCTCAGGTAAAAGATGATATTTTAATGCTTCCATAACTAACTCCTGTGCCACTCTTTGATCTTTGAACATTTCATTACTTTCAATATTATCTGCTATAAACTGTATGGATATTATAAAATTTATTTATCTCATTGCAGTAATCTATCTATATTCTTTAAATGTAGACAAATATTTAACTTACTGCAGGAGACAATAAAGGCAATTTCACAAGACTTAATAACTTGCTTGCATCCTTTTTTCTATTTTCTGGATCATGTTCTAGCCACGTCATCAGTGCCTAAAATATTAATATCAAAAATAATTAAGAGTAATCCTTAAATTAAATTTGTTAACATTCTTCTTATATATGGATAGTATAAAATCTTACATGAAAAATGATTTCTTCTGAAGGAACATTCAGATCTTCAGATTCCAAAAGTTTAGCAACCTCGTTGGCAGACAATAATAAAAATTCTTGATTTTTTGTAACTTCCATGAAATGTTTAGTTGTGTATGCATTAGCATGTTCCAATAAATCTAAACAACCCTGTGTATCGGCAAACATTCTTATCCCTAAACAATTACTTGGATGAAGTTGTTTTCTGAGAAACTGACAACAAGCTTTAACAACTGGATTTAGTTGCAACAAACACGCTGTTGCTAGAAGAGTCTCTACACTGTCTTCCCTTAATTCTATGCAACCTATATTAAAAAACATACAATTAAATTTTTTGATATGCATAGTTGCATTTACACAAATTCTCTATTATTTTCTTTTACAAAAATCATACCTGTATAACAGTAACAAACCAAAGTCCATAATGCGTCTCCATCTACACCCGTTAATTCAACTTCATTCTGTGTAGATTCTCTCAAAGAACTAGTAAACATGGCAGCAAAATATTCTGAACTTGCACTAAGTACTAAACGATGTGCAGGGAAACGTCTTTTTCCTGAATCAAAAATAACACTGTAGATACATTTCTTTATTATTGAAATAATCACAAGTCCTTTGTGTCAATACAGTATCAAATGACTCATTTCTGAGAGACAAACATTACTTGAAAACAAAGGAATATATTACTTACCTGCAATTAATATGACATCTGTCAATTGTTGTTCGTGTAAATACTTTTCCATAACTTTGAAACTATTTTCCGCGTGTTTTGACACGCGAAAATTTTCATCTTGCGATACAGAAATACTGGATACCATGCTCGAGATACTGTGTTCACTGGCAGATCCTTCTTTGTTTGAGAACAGAAATTCAAGTTCGACTTTGTTCGATCCCGTTCCGGTATGGCTCATTCTTGACATTTTTGTGGAAAAAAGTATCAACAATTATTTTTTCGCGAACACCACGTTTAATTTCCTTAAGGCACTTATTTCGCAAAAGTACTTTAACTTTCATGCAATCGACGCTCTCTCGTGCGCTCAAGCTTAACAATAACAGATCGCCACGCTTTACCTTGACAGTTCGAAATGTAAAACGGGATGTAAACAGTGAATCGGTTTAGGTACGGTCAGTGACCAGCTCTGTTCGTTTCTTGGGTCGGTGCACTCCACTTGCACTGAGTTCTGTGTGAGATGAATTGAAATAAAAAAATCAATAATACCATAAAACTATAAGAGATGAACTATTCATGGTAAAACGAGTCCAATGAAACTATACACTCATGTTTCTCGTGGATGAACGAAATCATATTTGTCCTTTTACAGGATGAAGACAACTTGAAAACGACAATATTTTTTTTATAATGAAAGGTATATTAAAAAAATATGTTAACGTATTAGTTTATAAATTAAACAATTTATTAGCTTTTGAATTTCTTGATAATATCACTGATGAAGTAAATTATTCAGACAGTTTTGTATAAGTTTTAGGTTATAAACTTTCATTTTTTACCATGTCTACAGCGATATTTTAAAGTACATATTATGTATGACTCATTGAGAATGTAAATAATTTCATACTGTTTATTTCTAGCTAAATATCATAGGAAAAAATAAAGAAAAACATCATGTTCAAAAAATTATAATTTTATTGTATTCTATGGTATGTTATAAATATATTTCATTGATTGTATATATAACCTATGTTCTTTTATTGTGCTTTTCGTTCATCTTATGTAAAATGTATTCAATTTCATAAAATTTACAATGAAATCATATAAAGGCATTGATATATCATGTACAATGTATAGTGTAGATATAAAATGATTGACGTAATGCACACGTATAACGAATTTAACAATTCATATTAACATTCTGTTGAATACACTTATTTTGTTTAATAATTTTCTTTTATTTATGATTGCTATAGAATTAATTTCATCTAATCTTTTTATAAATTGTGTATATATAAAACTGTGCATTACTTGTTTCATTGACTTTGGTATATCATAATTTTGTTTATGTATCTAAATGCTGTTTGACAAGAAGTGTATTTATATGTATTACAAAATTTTTCATCAAAAACAATATTTTATAATTATGTCTGGTACATTAATACTTTATATACATAAATAATTTATATACATAACCATTCTTGTTATTAGTAATATCTTGTTCCTAAATGCTAAAATGTATTTAATATTTCATTTTATACTACTAGAGATAAAATGGATAATGTATTTTTTATTATTAATAAGATAATAATAAATTCATCATTAATTACTCTTAATATACTATATGAATATCTTAAGAAATATCAAAATGGCAGCATCTTATTGCGGTTAAAATGACCAGAAATAAAAAATACAGAAATTTTTACAAAAAATAATTTACACGATGAAATTGTCATCATAATACCGCGTATCTGCCATGGAGCCATAATATTTATCTAACATATTATTATCCTTTAACGCACTATATACAGATTGCTCCTCCACAAGCTTGCTCCGATTTTGTTGAAAATTCCGTATTTGATCCTGCGAATGACCCGTAAAAGGGCCTTTTCCGACAACAACAAAAGCGATCTAAGAGTTCTGATAAATCACTATTCTCAGAATCCTCTCTATAAAGGCCACTAGATGCTTCGTCTGTACATGTCGCAATAAAAGTTTGTATATCATTTTTCGGGAAGCCATCGCGATAATAAATTTTAATAGTATCATAAGCGTCCATTATCACAGAAATAAATAAACTTAAAACCACATATATATACAATGAAATAAACGTATATAAATATATTCTAGAGTACCACCATAACATCGGCGACTTAAGGGACGTTGCCGAAAACGTGGCAAACATATCATCTCCATTAATAAGAGCGAAAAGACATTCGGAAGTTGTAGCGAGTGATCTGAATTTCATGTGGTACGGACCTAAAATCAACCAGCCACAAAAAGTGAAACCAGCATAAATAAGGATTGCACATATTAAAAATCGTGCTACCTTAGGAGCAGCCTTTTTCAACGTTAAAATAACAACATTATACGTTTTAAAGAAACCAAGGTATCTTAATACACCAAACCAGACAAGTAAATTCCCTGTTCCAAGAAATATGCTGCACACATTCCAATGATCACTACCGAATTGTTTCCGCTCGATTTGCTCTTTTATACCCGAACCAATAATAATTAAAAGATCATTCACGATAATCATAACATACCACAAATTTAAAAATTCTAATTTTCCTTCAAGGCTTAACGGTTTTCCATATGCCTTTTTGAAAAAATTCATAGTTTCAAATTTTAACAATTGTGCTCTGTATATAGCTCTTGAGCATAACATAAGAGATATAGTACAAATTAAAATTACAAGTAAATTTAATAGAGTTCTTAAGGCTGATTCAATACGATTATCTGTTATATAACGCGTATCGCCTTTACATTGTAATCTCTTTGGTTCGGCATCTAACGAAAGTAACATTTGTCCATCGAAATCACGATTATCAAAATTAATTCTAATATTAAACTGGTAACAATCCGGTGGTGTCATAGGTCCGGCAGCTTTCAAATTAACCGTTTTTAAAGCAAATTTTAAATGAGCTCCAACAAGAGCTGAAAAATTAACATTAATGTTTTGTTTAGCCAACATGAGCTTTGATGTATTAAATTCATTATGAATCTGATAAGTAATATTTATACAAGTTTCTATAATTTCTTTATCAAAGACATAACTTTCATTAAAACCAAATATAATGCCTTCCTTATACTGATACAAGCATAAAACAACTGGACCAACTGAATTATCTTCTGCAGTATACGAATACGATCCAATTGCATTACTAAGATTATAATAGCCATCTAAAGCGTAATCAACTGTACTATAGAAATCATCTCGTTTATAAATTGCTAAAGGCCCTGTTACTGGTGGATAAACTGGTACCTGAAAGTAAAAATGATCAAATATACAATACAACTAGTTTTTATATTTACTAATATATACCAACACTAGCTACTTATATGTGGAAAATCTAAAACAGCGATGTTTTAAGTAATATATTACCTCTAAAGAACTATCCCATCCTCTGAGAAAAAGGTGTGAGAAAGCGATTCGATTATCCCAAGTATAATTTACATGTATATAGTTGTTATGTGCAAATAAACATAATTGTACAGTGACCAACAAAATTTTAATGACTTGCACAATAAATTTATATGGAAAACGACGCTTTGCTTGCCATTTTTCAATAGGATTCATAAAGAAGAATTTCAATTTTCGACGCATTTTATCCTCAGCAAACATTGTCATATTACAGATAGGCTGATCTGTTGGAGTTGATAGATGATGACTGTAAATAAACAATGTTTTTAACATTGTTAGATATTACAAATAATCTACTTTATAATTTATAATGTATTCTAATATCAATACTAATTGTATATTCAATTTCTGTGTTTTAACACAACTGACTTTTTCAGACTGTGTCACTTATGACACCAATATTTTTTGCTCGTGCACAAAGAATATAAAACGACAAGACAGTTTATTAGTATATTCCAAAGATTACTAAACTACAGATTTGAAAAGAAATAATTCTCAAAGTGTTTCATAACTTTTTATCTTGTTCGTCGCAGTGAACATGATTAGAAAATAAGTATAAATTTCATTACTGGATCTAGCAGGCCTAAAATAATTTTTCAAAAAAACACTCTAAGCTGCTGACAATGAGACATCGTGCAATAGCTTATCTGAGATATGCAACCAAGCGCAATGTCTAGCAAATAGTACATGCAGCAGTTAACAAAGAAGAAACAAAGAAACAACAAAGAAAGAATTGATGAGTGAAAGAAGTAGTGAACGATACTTGAATAATGATCACGACGAAGGGCGTATTCGGAAATAGTAAGATAAACTTACAAACCTTGGACTGATTGTATTTTCATTAAGCAATTCATTCTCGCCAGCTTGATCGTCTTCGCTGTCGGGTCCATTGCTCCAGGAATCATTTTTTAGAATATTACCCTTGGAATCCTCTTTCACATTTCTCTTTCTTCGCTCTGGCATTTTTGCTGTTTTCCTCGGATCGTTCTGTGACACGACAACCAAACTCGAAATTCTGAGCCAAAAGTAACTTATCCCGCGGAATTGTCGTCCCAGTTCCCGACGGACGATGAAAGGGCGAGTTGTTCACATACGTTGATCTGTGCAACAACACGAGCAAGATTATTAGATGACATGAGTTTGTTTCACGGAATCGTTTGACGTAATACGAGGAAAATAACATTAGTAACGTACTGATTTGTAATTCGCAAATGACTGTAATAATTCCACGTCGTTAACAGCGGCCATCGCAGGCCATCCAATTCACGTACTCAGCCTGACTGATCAGCGCGCTACTTCGGCCATTCGTGAAACTAGCTGGTCAGAAAGTGGGGATAAGTAGTAGGGAGGGCGCTAATTCTTCAACGATAAAACGAGTGTTCATCACAAATATTCGACGTCACGCTTTTCTTTTTAATTTATCTGCGCGTATACGGTTTTATCGGGTATAAAAGCGAAGCTACGTGGAGGAACAGAAATTGCGTCGATAGAATGTCTTCAAGGTTTGCACATATTTACCGATAAGTCCTTTTAATTGTATCAGGAGTTGAAATTTATATAACTTAGCCTATCGTGCTCTATCTATCATGCATCTATTCATAAGCTATCTGAGAAATCGAGTGCGAGAATTGCATCATGAATATTTGTATATTAATGTGTGTAAACAGTTGTTGAAGCAAATTAGCTTACAGTTTAATCATATCATATTGAATCTAGGTCCACGAGAGTGGGATGCTGAGCAGACATTTTCCCGCGTATTTGTTGGTTAATAACAATGGCGGAACAACGGACGATACGATTAGTCAAGGCTGAGAAAAACAAGGATATATCACGGAGAGAGGAACTACAGGTGATATTCAAAGGTAAGCAAAGAATGATACTCTCCTTTTGTTCGCGTTATTCGCTCGAGTGGCGAGTAGAACAGAGCGACCAATGAAATTCATATCGACGAATAAAATTCGGGTGCCAGCAAGGTATTATCGGAAAGCGTAGTCAGTCAATGGAATTTAAAGCGATCAATTATCGAGACACACGAGTGAGAAAAGGAGATATCGGAAAGGTATTGGAAGGATAGCACGCGGACGGTCCGCGTGCAGTGATCGAATGACAAGGGGGTGGTGCGCGCGTTTCCACCGTTCGAGGATCGGCGCGCGTTGTAGGTGCACCTTCTGCGCCAGCGTATCAGGCTTCTCGCAATACACACGAATGGTGCGTCCTGCCGCGCGCGCCAAGTGTCTACGAGAGGAAGCGCAGCGACGGAGCCGAGCTAAGCTCGGCTTTCCTCGACCGACCGTAGGCGCAGTCTCTCATCGTCAGTCTTTCTCGTCCCTAGCTTCGAGAGAGCACGTTTTCGGAGTCAGATCTACCTTGGAGTGTGTCCACCTCGTAACAACCCTTAGCTGTCCTCGGTCATTGACCCGACACATCGGACCCGTTCTCGCCGTTCACGCGATCCTTCACGGTGCTGTGTGCAGTGTGATCTCTCTTAAGAGAAGTGTCCGCTTTGCGGGGTGCAATCGGTATCGTCACACACGATTCCCGGCGAGAATAAACAACACACAGCGTGTTACGTGTGCGTATATATACGTCGTTTCCCCGTTTTGTCCCTATTGGTCATTGTCATCTCGTTGTACGTCTCACCATCCCGTTGCGTTTCGTTGCTCTCACGCATACGTACGCCGCTGACTCGAGTCGCGCCGTGCGACTGTCCACGAGACGAGTGTACACGAGAGACGAGTCTATCGGAGAAGCGTCAGAAGCATGGGGGATCAGCAGCAAACGGACCAGCAGCAACAGGAAGCCGTGCCAAGCGTGGTGGAGTTGAACGTGGGCGGTGTATTTTACACCACCGCTCTCACCACCCTCACCCGGGAGAGCGATTCCCATTTGGCCGCTTTGTTTTCGGGGAAAACATCAGTGGAGAAAGATGCCAAGGGAAAGTACTTCCTGGATCGTGATGGGGTCCTCTTTCGTTATGTCCTCGATTTCCTACGCAATCAGGCACTGGTATTGCCGGAAGGGTTTCGAGAGAAGGAGAGATTGAAGCAGGAAGCGAATTTTTACGGTCTACCCGGCTTGGAACGTGCCATTTTGGAGAACGGCAAGTCTTCCGGTTCCTTGACCTCCTCCGGGAAGAAAACATCCGGCCACATAACCGTCGGTTACCGCGGGAGCTTCGCGTTCGGCCGCGAAGGCCTGGCCGATGTAAAGTTTCGCAAGCTGTCGAGGATCCTCGTATGCGGCCGCGTGACTCTTTGCAGAGACGTATTTGGGGAGACATTGAACGAGAGCCGCGATCCAGACCACGGTACCACCGACCGTTATACCTCTAGATTCTTTTTAAAGCACAGCTCCATCGAGCAAGCTTTCGACATGCTTCAAGAGCAAGGTTTCAAGCTGGCTGGTAGCTGCGGTTCCGGCACCGCTGGCAGCAATTCGGAACAGCTGAAGCCCGGAGTGGATTCCGAAGAGAATCGTTGGAATCACTACAACGAGTTTGTCTTTGTCCGCGAGTAAATCAGCATACTTCTTGGTTCTTCCTTGGTCTGAATTAGCTGAACGGCTAAACGAGCAGGTTGTTGAGAATAATCGACGCGACCCGATCGACAGAGATCATGTTCCAGCAACGATGCAGAATTCTTCGATTTCTTTTTTTTTTTTTTTTCTCGTCGGCGACGAAGACACAGAGGAGTCGGTTTCTCGAAGACATTCCTCTCTGAACTGGTAGAGTAAAGAGTAGATGAACTTTTTTCGTCGTTACACGACCATCGTGCATGTACTATTCAAACTCATCGAGCTACATTAGATCGATATCGTCACAACTTTCGTTTTAAAATATTCCTCGCTCTTCGCTTCTTCCACGGAGCAGGACTTTAAGAAAAAAAAGAAGCACTGTAACAGGTTCAGTCATTGTTTGGACGAAACAATGAAAATGGCGTGTAGATCATTGTTGAAATTGTCAGGCTCGTCCCTAACACGTGTACTTTAACGTGGCGTTGAACGTCGGTCGAAGTACTCCGGGGGTGAAACAAAGCCGAGTTTACCTTGCTTAATTCAACGGTGATTGACGGCAGTACAGAGACCGAAAAAACTTGGAAGACGACAGAAGGAAACAACGGGTTAGATCGTCGGGTTTTTAGAAATTTGTTTCGCTGTTTGACTTATTGAAGAAGAGTTATTGAAGAGAAATTACTAACTTGAGGAGAACAAAAGCTATAACGATGGAGAGATACGAACAACGCTGGATGATGAGGGAAAATCAATATTTGATCGCAAGATTCGGAGAAAGTTTGAACGAAAGTCGCCTCATCCTCTTTTTTCCGTTTCTTTCTCAAGATTCGTATTCACCACGTATCTACAGCTCATTCTTCGCACTTAACCGTTCACTCGCTGGATGCTACGCTATCCCTGGTTGAATCGAAAAAGTTTCGCCTCGAAAAATACGACTTAAAGTTTGGTATTGATGATCAGAGATTCTTTGAAAATATTCTCCACGCTTTTCTATGTCACCCGAGAGGAAGCCGTCGGAACGTTTCAAAGTACGTAACGAGATGCGGACTCGACGTGTTTTTCATCGATCTTTCCATCGATACACATTGAAAAAAGGAAATGACCAAAGGAGATCTTTAACGAGACCACTTTCACGTCTACAGCGTGAATCAACCCGACCTGTTTGATATTGAAATTATTTTAAAACGAGTATCGAAGTAGTCGAAGAAGTCTGAACTCGAGGGATTAACAGGACGCAGCACCCGACGTTTCTCTATTAAATGATATACAATGACGAAATCATCTCTACTCGATGTGTACTATTATCTTCTCGACGAGTTGGAAAGGGAACAGGCAAGGACGGATTCGAGCAAGATTCAGCTTCAAACAACGCTGGTCGACTGTTCGAGGTTGAACTTGATATTGGACAGTTTGCATGTGTTGCACTGGAACGAGTCTCGTGTGTACGTATCGTGTAACGTAAATTGTATGTACGTACAAGCCGACCTAACCGGTGTTAAACATATGTCGAGCGGCTCGAATAGCGTGTACGTTGAACGTCTCTTTTAAATGATTCTTTGTTAGACTCTCACTAGAGATTACACGCTATTGATCTTCGGTTTCACGTGCATGAAATTGTGCGGTGCAAATAACGCTGGGGAGCACGCTCGCTTTTGACGTTGGTCGTGTCGCGTGTAGCATGTATCAGGTGTGTTTCTTATGAATTTCTGACGTTAGGCAGAAATAGTTGTATCTCACTTGATACGGTGGAATATGTAGGTATTTTCTGATCGTGTAGAGAAATTCGATTGAATTCTTTTCGCCCGTGGTGAAAATCGTTGAGCGTCCTAAATGATTCGATTAATTTGCAGCGAGTACACCTGGGGACGATAAAAGTTTCGAATGGAACGAACCGGCGTTCGCGTATTTACCGGCGGGAAAACGACCGAGACGAAACTGCTATCAGCGACGGACAAACGAGACTTGAATTTTTCGTGAGTTTTCTCTGCTCCTTCGTGAAAGTAAACGAAATAAGCGACCAAATTGCTTGTGTTTTATCAAAGAACCGTCATGTCGGATATATTTCGCTGATATTTGAGAAAGTATTTGTGTTATAAATCACGATTCAATCTTGTCATGTTCCTTGTGTCATTTACGACGGAATCGTGTTTCTCCATCGTTAGAAAGAATCGTCGTTGATATACGCGATTTCATATCTCAAATTTATACTACGATTTTTCTTGAAATACTTACCCCTTGAAGATATTCGTTGGCAGGCACGAACGTTATTATACATAAATATTCTTGAATGTATGAAATTCTTTCGCGAATATTCACCAGTGGTATGTACTATTTTTCACGAGAAAATAAGAATTATCTTTTTTTAAATTTCAACGAATTTGTCCGTAGAAAGATTAGAAATTGTTTCCATTCTATGCTCTGTTAGCAGTAAACAAGTCTCGCGAACAGATTCATCGAATGAGAGACTTGTTTCATCAAAATCTCGGCAATTTTTCAAGGTAAACAATCGTGGTCCTATCAAGCTTAAGCAAAATGGTTTAGCTCGAGAAAAAGAAACAACATTTAAATATATGTATCTAGATTCAGCGCGAGTCCACGTAGATCTGTTGTCTGTCTCACTGTGTTCCTCTGTTTCTTATTTTTAAAGTGAACGCGGTCGAGTCGAATTGATATGGTTTCCGCGCGATCATTTTCCTCCTGGAGGCACAATCTTATCGTCGGCTTATGTAGATTCCTTTCTTCCGGCACACTAGTTCTTCTTAGATTCCGCATAGAATTATTCACGGCGTCGCGTTACATTTGGTCGCGACCACAGATGCGAGTATCGACGAACGTTCATGCAGGATCGACTTGCAAAACGGCAGTGCACTACGTGAACGATGCAGCGTGAAATTGCGAATTTGAATATCGCCAAGTCGTGTTCGGCTATCGTCAGAAACGATACGTTCCGGTACGTACAAATCGTATGTACGTAAAAATGTACAAACCGATAAGATGTGGCGCATCCGTTATAATTTGTTATTAAACGTACAAAATGCACGTGCAACATGCAAAGATGCACAAGATCAGCAAAGTGAAATTTAAAGGATAAAACAAATTTTTTTCTAGTTCTTTCTCTCTAATGGTATAAATTTATATTTTTGAAGTTTGCGTAAATATCCAACAGTCAGATTTAGACCGAAATGTTCCATTCGAAACGGATAGACTTTCATTTTCGTGGCGTGTCTATACGCGTAACATCGAGTCGATCGCTCGATTTTAAATAACATTCTTTTCCCCCGACTCTCCGCGACTTGGTCTGATATCCTTGATACCGCAAGACCAGCTACGTGCAACGGAGCCGGTTGATTTTAGAGGCGAGCTTTTCATCCGGAATATTGAAATTCGGCAAGAGAGCAGAGCCGACCTTTTGTGCTCTGACGATTGTACGGTTCATTGGTAACATGGCCGGCGTGTCAAAGGATGCAAAAGCCATGGGCGATCGAGGCAGGAATTGCTAGAATTCGACAAGCAACCGACGACGTAAGACAGCTTTGCACGAGTGTAAAATGTCAGTTACACACTGTTTAGACTGTCGTCAACGTCCACGATGAAATAGTACGCGTGCATCGAACATGCGTTCGTTTCAGATGTCGCGGGATTCGTCTTCCTAGAATCGTCTTTTGTATCTTAATTTCGCTCGGCACACGAGAAACGTTCACGCGATAGATACATATATCTGCCTGTGTATGTATGTACATATATGTACGTTCAGGTACGTCGGAGGAATCGAATGTGGCATTGGATCGAATGGAAACTATGTTCAAAATTTGACATATCATTGTCGACTTTCGATTCCGATTTATTGTAAGAATCAATAGTGGCTTAATTAGTGTCTAACAAAATGGACTTGACTTTTAACTTGCGAAGTTTTCTATTGTGTCACTTTATCGTGCACACGTATCAATCTTTTCAAGACCAAACGTCTCTCGGATCGCGGAAAACGTTTTCTTCTTGTCAATTATCGACGACAGAGAGTAACGCCCGTTTCACGATCTTTCTTCAAGGATTTTCCTAAAATTAGGATTGCTTTTACCGCGCGAAAGGGTTGATCGCCTGTCGTAATATTCTGTTCCTATTAGAAATCTTTAGAGGCGACGTTTGAAGCGACGTGCATGATCGATACGTAGAATCTATTTAAAAAAAAAAAAAGAAAAAAAAGAAAAAAAAAAGGGTACGAAGTGGAACTCGAGATAGATCAATGGTCAGATTCTCTACGCAGAGAATTCCACGAATCACGCAAATCCAATTGGCCACATTCCCAATCCTGGTGTACCTGGCGTGTTCGTGTCGAGATAGGCTCGAAGGAATCTTCGATTCCTCGAGTATCTCTCTCGTTGATATCGGTTACTTTGGGTATTTCGCTCGAGATATCCGTATCTTCCATTCTAGGGATAGAAGTCATTGCGATCGTGCAGCGCGAACGATCGAGCGATATCGTAGCGTGATCTTGGAAAAATCGGTGAGAAATTCCCCGTGAATGATAAGGGTGGGAGGGCGTAATTTATTGATTAGAAACAGCGTACCGCGCGGTTCCGTTCGCCATGAAAGGAAACGAGTCTCGAACGAGCAAATCTAGAAACCGATCGAACGAACGAACGACTGATTTAACAATCATCAGAAAGTAGGCACGAATCGGTGGCGCGAGAACGTCTCGTTCGAGAACGCCTTTCGACAGAAATTGACTCAGCGAACGGAGGTCGCGACGAGTTGCGTGCATCTTTTTTAACGAACAAACGCGTTAAAATGCGAAAACGCTCGCACGGTCGGGGCACGTGACCGGAATCCCACTCGAATCCATCGAGTTGCATTATTCGCTGGATTTTCTCTCGGAATGATCCACTGATCAAACTTCGTCCTCGCGCAGAGTATTTCGAGACGGGAATCTTCAATCACCCGGTGCCGTGTTACACGATTCTGTCGATCGTTGAGAGCTTGTAACGTGTAGATTTATGGCTTATCACGTGAAAATGGTGATCTCCGGGGATAGAGCTGGAAGGTTAAGGGTATCGAAATTGAAAAACGCCCCCGCACACTTTCTTCATTTGCCCCTCATTGGTCTTCTCTCTCCACCCCGTGTCGACGTGTCCAACGCGCGATGCATGAAAAATTAAAGAGCCCGCGGATTTCAGATTTCAACGACACGGAAGATTCGGAAATTCGTGCTTTTCCACCCCGAAACTATTACCGTGTGTTCGCCGATGCGGGGCTTTACTTTCGCCACGCGTTTGTTCGTTGAAAACAGAACGCGGTCTTTGAAAGGTGTGTTTAGGTAGTGTGTAAAATGAAAAAACAGCCACGCTGTTGACGATACTGAATACATTGTACATGTATATACATAAGTCGAAAGAAGAAAAATAAAAGAATAATACGACGACCGAGTAGAATTACTTTTCCTCGGGATTTGTCCCCCTTCCTCTCATCCGTTTTCTTTTATTTTCTTCTCGTTTCCTTTCTCTTTTTTTTTTTTTTGCTTTTCGAGGATTGAATGCGAGTCGGATCGCAAGATGCGATAGCTGTATTACTTCCATACATTTCGTATCGTAAAGCAATTTGAAAGTGGATGACGAGGGTGCTCTTGATTTAGTCCAATTCATTTTTATTTCAATTACTTTTGAACTCGCAACCTTATTTGCGATCGTCCACTGTTCGAGAAGCAATATTTTATGTGCTTATTGAATTCATTAAGACGCACGATCAACTGCTTTTTTGATTGAGAAATTTTATTCTGATTTCGATAAATCGCGCTGTGTACGTTGTCTCTGTCGCGTATGAACTTGGAACGAATAATCTAAAGTCACGTTCCAATTTCGTAATAATATATGCATCTGAATCGCTGTGTAGGTGTGAAGCGATCAATATCTCTTCAGAAATGGTTACAGCTTAATTAAAGAACGATAAAACTAAGGCCGTACGATCTGTTCTTATTACACGAAATGAAGACAATTTCAATGCAAAGAACCGTGAAATTAATTTCTAAAAGGATGCAGTTTCCATTTAGAAGCTCCTATTATAATTGCAAATTCTGGAATTGCCCGGGAGAGTCTCGGGCATATCTTAGAACTTTCTTCGTGCTATCTGACACTCCTATTATCCTAATCTTTCGTTATTAGTCTGTGCATCGAGTTACCAATTTCTAAAATTTGCCTCAATCGGTCGTTCCACTTCTGTTCCACTGGAGAACACTCGCCGTACGGTATTTACACATTCGAACAATCGCATGTGAACAAAAAGCACGGTATAGAACGGAACGTGTCTAACGAACATTTTCGCCAGTTTCGAACTGCTTGAATTCAATTTGTCGAAATTCAAATCGACAGTGAAAATACCGTGCGAATCTATATTTCTCGATGTACTAACAAGTGGTGCTTTTGCCACGAACAGACACCCCTCGGGGCGATAATTTGTCTCGATAGGAACGGACATTACGGCGGTAACGGTGACACGTATCCTAACGCTCTCCAAGGGGTTGCCAGGGTGGAACATTTCTCGCGACGAGGTGGAAGTTGCTCGTGGAGGTGGAGGTGGAGATTGCACATTAACAAACGTCACCTGAAGGTGTCGGATGTAAACTCGATTGGCACGTCTGAATGAGAGGCGGTGGTAGGGGTCGGAGGATAGACTTTCTGAAACCGTCGCTACGAACTACGGGGAAAGCAATCTGTTGCTTAGTTTCCATTCATAAGTGTCGCACCGACGGCGATACTGGAATAAATATCGTCGACATAAATGACACGGAAGCCAGGGTCCTTTACAACGGTCATTAGCGTTGTATTGTATTTGCACGAACCCCCGAGCCCGGTATATTTCCGTTTTACAATCGAGCCCGGTTGCGACTCGAGATTGCAACCAGTTGCGTTAAACAAAGCCTGATTCATTCACGGCCATGTGTGCCGAACTGTTTAATAAGGTTCGCCTCTTCCCCCTCCCCCTTCCGTTCTTTACGGACGATTCGGCAAATTGTTTTTCAGCCGGTCCGTTTCTCTGTTTCGGCTCTACTGCCTCGTTTACTCGTAATCGGATCAAATTCTTTGACGAGTGAAATAACGAACGTTCATCATCGGACAATTAAATTGTCCGCGGAAGATCCATTTGCCGCGACGAAGTGCGAGTGCGAGATTAAATAGAAACCGAGCAGGGAACCGGAGAAGATCGATTTTCTAGACGATTTTAGCTGGAAATTTACACAGATTAATTCACCATGAAGGGAAGGGTAATATTTAAGTTGCGGATTTTCCACGTGCTCGCAGGGAATTGTACACGGTAGGGCTGTAGGCCTGCAATCCCTCGCGGCCACGGAACCATAAAATTTATGGACGCAATATCTTCGACGCCTACGGCGAACAAGATTTTATACCGATAGAACGTCGAAATTAGCCGAAATTACCAATTTCGTAAGAACTAGTAGTTGCCGAACGTCGCCTAAATAACAGCAGAAACGAAATAAATCCTCGTGAAAGGTGAATACAGTTTTTACAGCACGATCGGTCAATATTTTGCTAAACCGTCAATTAAGCAATATTTTATCTGCACACGCGGGCGCACGCTGCACGGTTTCTCCTCGCAGTTACGCAAACACCTACGTCCGACCTTATAGCTGCAAGTGAAATATTCGAAATTCCATTTCTCCGGGCATCCTTCCTCCCTTCCCCCGATTCATTACCTCGAATTTCCTCGGTCGACTCTATATTACCCTCGTGGCATCCCTCGATGCCGTCCTACGCCAGCCGTTTCACCAGCTGCGCATCGATCGAATCGGACAATTATAACGACGCGGTTACTACTTGCGGTTTTAACGACGATTACGACGCGAGGGTGAGAATTTCCGTATCGATACACGGCCAAAAGCAGCCGTGGTTGCGTGAAATTACGTCGATGATCGTCGTCCTTCGAGTAAGCGTGAAGTAGCCCCGACGCTAGACTGAATCGGCCAATCGATTCGTCTATACGTCAATTGCCGCGTATGTGCGTAAAGTGCGTGTCTCGCAACGCAGCGGTGGGGCCATTTGTTTGAACAAACACGTATAGCAGCTCTTCTTTCGTACCTCTTCGTAAAAGAATTCGAGTACATTTGCGAGGACATTTTGCTTTGGATAGGAAATTATTGACGTTGAAGCGCACTGTTTAAAGTTTCTCTGGAATTATTACTTCCCGTCTTTGTGCAATGTGTTAAATAAAACGTATGAAATTTAATGAAATCTTTCTCCGTTCGTGCTGGCGCTTTCATTGATCCGCAGAGTTTATTGTTTCGTTTAATTGGAAAGATATTTACTTTCGTTGATTCTGAAAACTGGCCGTGTTGTTTGTGTACCGTTGAACATTCAGTTGCGCGTTCGCCGAGAGAAAGGGGTCAGCTTTTAATCAAAATTCGGTTCTTAATGAAGAACGAAACGAGTATTCTTTGATGTTCGCAATTTAATATCGACTAATAACGAGCAATAACGTCAATTTAAATATTACGAGAAATTAATCAACGCCCGCAAAATGAAGGTGAATCTGAAATGGCACGAGTTTCCGTCGAGTGAATATTTTTATCTGAAAAAGAAAGTCGCGATTCAACAAGTTACTGGAAACAGTTTTTCTTCATGAATGCTTCACAAGTCGGCATTCGCGAATAAAATCGCAGAGAGATTGGTGGCGAGAGTGGCCACCGTGATAAATTACTTTTACAATAATTACGTTTCGTATTGATCATCAACGCTTCGTTAACGCGTGCAACGAAAAAAATTCGACGAGCGTGGTCGAGCGCTCTCGCGCGCGGATACTGACAATTCTCTTTCCGTTCTATATATTTCTCTCTCTCTCTTTTTTCTCTTTTTTTTTTTTTTGGTCAAAAAGAAATCGCCTCCGATTTTAACGTCGTTTGACACGTAAAAACGGGACAAAGGTGTTCGTTGAGAAACGAAGGCCGTAGGGAACGAAGCGTGTGCACGAACCTGCAGAAAAGAACGGGCGAACAGTGGTTGACGTGTATTGTCGCAAAGGTAATTGTGTTTCGGTTTGTTGGATCCGTCTGGTTCGATGGTTCGAATCAGACTGAATGTTCGTTGAGTTTGATCAATAAAAGTAGCGCGCAGGCGTTCTCCGTCGGCTGGTACGTGAAAGCCTGCGAGTCCTTGCCCCTGTATCTGTGTCTGATCAGGAACGGATAAATGATAAACAAAAGGATAGATCGCCAGGTGGAATCGCACGATGGTCGCGATGGTGGTGATGTTCCAGGTAGAGAAGGGAAAAAAAAGCACCGTGTAAATCTATTTGGAGTGTACGTTATGACTATTACGTGAACGATAACGTCCTTTGAAGCTCATTAATATTGAACGATCTTTTATCTTCGATTCACCTTCTTTTATTATTTCTCTTCTCTTGCTCCATTCGTTTTCTCTTTTTCCCCTTCTGGTCGACCCAATTGCACGAAAGGAATGGCTCGTTTTATTCGTAGGAAGAACGTTTCGTTCTCCTCCCCTACCATCCACTTTATTTCTCTCTTGTTTACATTCCTGTGGTTAACAACTCCGCCGCGATATCACAGCCGGCTTTTATTAATTTCTCCAATGGAAATTCAATTTTCTCGTTTCTTCGTTCTCTCCTCGTTATCTCTACGGCCGCGAAGAATTGCCGCGTGAAGGTTTCTTTGTTTTTCAAAGAGATCGTTCCGTGATCACCACACATTTTCGTTCCTTTTAACTAACGCCTTTTAAGGCCTTTCGCCGTTCATTCGTGACGCGGGAAAAATTCGAGAGAAAAATATTCGCGGCTCTTAACGCTGCCTAAGTGACCTTCTGGAAGTTAATTTATCACTGGAAATAGCCCCCAGGTTCCCGCCATTTGTTACCTCTGAGGTTTAACCCGAGAAACTTCTTCCTCGTTTCTTTCCCCTCGTCCTTTTTTTATTATACGACGTTTAATAGAATTACCCGCTGCAGTCGTGCAAAATTTGTAACGGAAGTCGCATACCGTCGTCGAACGCCGAAGGGAACGCTCTCTCGCTAGAATTCTCTGCAGAGGACGCGATAAATTCCGCTT